AAATAAGTAAGGTCTGAATGCTTTTCTTGGCTGATTTTATGCTCCGTGTGTCAATACAAATTATGATTCATCGATTGAGATTCTCATTCTCAACAGATCATATAAAACTCATGTGAGGCTCATGTGAAACAGAAGAGGAGGTCAGTCATCTTGTGTCCTTTGGCTCATCAACATTTAGTTTTATAACATTCTGATGATTGAACCCCAAATCATCCTTCAGCCTCAATGACACCTTCAGACAGGTGAGTGAATAAACATTTAAAAGGACAAGAAAATAGTCAGGATAATTTAGAGTCAACAAGTTCTCCAGTCTGAGTTAACTGACCAGAAGGAGCAAATTAAATGCCGTCAGCTTAAACGTGAACGGCTTCCACAGATTTAGTGGATCTTCTGAGCTACAGAACATAGAATAAGTTGGGTACACATACATTTTATATGTAAGTGTACTTAATATGAACTTTATTATTATTATTATTATTATTATTATTATTATTATTATTATTATTTTAAAACTGACACAAACCTTACTGAGTAAACTGGTCGTTGAACCACCGTACATGTCTGAAACCACGATGAGAGACAGAGAAAGTTTGGCCTTCTGAGGCTGAGGGCTCACTGAACATACCCAACTACTGTGAACTTATATTGTCCACTAGGTGGCAGCACCACACAGTCAGAGCGCTGTTGTTATAGGAGGAAAATGCTAATTTCCACAACGAAGACTCCTCTGTTTTTGTACTGACGTCGATAAGGTTGAATGTGTAAATGAACTCACTCTATCCACACACACAGCTGACCTGAGGGTGGAGGTGATTAAATGGATTCAGACATGGCTACAGTAACATGAAGTATCATTTACATCACAGAGTCAAAGAGGTTAGGGGATCGTACCAGTCCTGCTCGTCCCCCTTCTTAGTTTAGTTTTTTATTTTTATTTTCAATGACATCATATGATGCAAAACTCTTGCCAATTTAAATTATGGTTGGAATAGGCCACCGTCCTGCAGCAGTGTGTGACCACCAGCGTGATGAGGAGGTGCCAAGCGGTTCTGCATGGTTATGTATGGTTCGCCCACGCACTACTGTGGAATTGTTAATCTGCAAATATGCCTCGTTTGTTCACAGTTTGGGGATCCAGTCCAGCAAGAGATAGTAGCAGAAAATGATATTTGGTCATGGCAGAGAGGATTTGGCTAATGTTCCACAGGCAAACCCACACATGCAACTCTGCTGCTAAAACACATTTTTCTTACAAATGTAGCACAATTTAACAGAGAAATGGGCTTCCCAACAAAATGCTTTTTTTTTTGTTTCTTTTTTTTTTTTTTTTTGCTAAAAAGCATTGTTGCAAAAAATATATATTTATAATAAATGCTAAGTGGCTTGTACTTGTAGCGCTTCACACTATATTCAGTCACTCACACGGTGCAGCAGCAGCTGGGGCAGACTGAGAGAAGCAAGGCCGCCATGCAGCGGCAGCACCAGCAGCAGCAGGCGGGTAAAATGTCTTGCCCAAGAACACAACGACAGAGTTAGACAGAGGAGGAACTGTCTCGCCACCATCTTCCAACCAAAACCGAAACATAAGCCAAACACAAACTTGTTTCATTTCTAACTGCACCAAAATTAACATGAAGATTAAGTCGGGAGAAGATCAAATTGAAATAATATTTTCTCCTAAACCATGTTTACTATGCATGCAATGCATGGAATAATGACACAAGATGCAGAGGAGCTCACAGAGCAACACTGGAAACAGGGAGCATATTTTGTGTGGGAGATTCTGATGGGAACACGGATTAATCCTTCAATTTTTCAAAGAAATTATTGAATCTGTCAATATGGCGTATCGGCAGACTTCCTTGATATCTTTTTATAAAACATTGTGAAACTTTTAAAGCATCACTTTTTAAAAATGTACCAGACTGTTGCAGAGCAGCAGATTCACTGTTATTTTCTTGTGGTGCCATTTGAATAATGACCAGTTTCTTGAGCTAACAGTTGGGTTTAAAATGTTCTTTTATAAAATATTCTTTTTTGGCTCCAGTGGCCTTTGTTTAATAGTGAATCGACAGGAAGGTGGAGTATGAGGTCACAGTCGTGTCGAGAACATGAGGCCAGATCAGTGGCCACTGCTACGCCCATAGAAAATACTTTTTTTTCTTTGGTTGGTTACCAATAATTTTATCTGTAGAGATTCTGACTTCAATTGGAAAGAATTACTCCAACCAGTTACTTTTTCCATGTTTTTTTTAAAATTTATTTTTAATATTTGAATACCAGGATCCAACTTGTTGGATGTTTTGAGGTTCAGACCCAAAGAGTAAAACGATGAAGCTTCTTAAGGGTCAAGCTAATGAATGAACCAGTTTTAGGGTATTTTCTTTGGTTTCTGGTCTAAACATAATGGCTTCTTTGATCACGTTTTTAATGTTCTTCTGCTAACTTAATCTCAGCACAAGCTAGCTGCCCAGACATTTTTGAAAATCCCTTGTTCCCCCTAATGCATGATTAGGTAAACACCCAGACATAATGTTATACACATGCAGACCAGTGATGGCTGTGCAAATGACAGGATTTGCAAGGAGCTGGCAGGTATAGGATGCTAGGAATGAGCAGGTGGAGCAGTTGGTTAACTGTGGCAAAACTCAGAGGATGCCTCATAGAGGCATTAGACAGCACATGAGAGAGTTTGACAGGAACTATATTGTGTGCTTAAATGAAGTGCAGTGGTAGTGGTGCTGTAAATGCCTGGAATGTTTATGTTGACATGTAAAAGTAAGAACAAGAAAACTCACAATGAAAGTAGTGTTTGTGTTTTTATTTTTAAAATCATGTTTATGTGGCTCATGAGTACTTCACGCTTTCCAATTTTGCCCGATGTGGCAAAAATGTGCAAACCTCTGGTTAGAAGCTAATTCTGACTTGTTATGTTTTGTCACAGGGTTGGAATAAAAAGGTTTGAATTACCTGACTAAATGCATCTCTCGCAGGTGTGCCATACTGCATACTTTGATACCAAGTGTTGTCGATACTAATACTATCATTTAAGCTCAATATCAAATTTCTGACCTTTAGATGTTTGTTGTGGTAGGTTTATTAAATTTGAACACATACATTTGGACAATTTATGTGTCTACAAAATATTTTTGATAACATATTAACACGAGATTTCTGTGCATTTTTCCCTAAATAAAGTGCAAAAAAATGATCAAAATATAATTTGAGAGTAAATCTAAATGATCTTTTTTTTGAAGTAGAGTTGAGAAACTACAATGCATAAGTAAACAAATGTTCAATCTGAAACTAAAGTCTCAATCCAACCAGGATCGATCCCACACTGATACCAACTTGGTATCAATATTATCTTTGTTTCTTTTTTTTCTTTTTTTCTTTTTTTCTGGTAGCTGTTTGTCCGGGAGAGCTGGAGTCCTAATTCAAGTCAAAAACGGAGGAGCATCAGTTAATACAACCCGCCATCGTGCCACCAGTTTAGCAGTGGTTAATGGTTATTAATATTTATTGTTAACAGATTTAGTGTTAGTCAGACATTAAAACCTTTGTTAAACAGCACAGATGATGCGTTGCCAAAAAAGGTCAATGAATTGAAAAGGGGAGCGACAGAAGAGAGCGAGCAGGATGGGAGGGGAGGTACGGGAGGAGGGAGGGGAGGCGCAGAGACCCTGGCGGACAGCAGAGGGAGGTTGGACCGGGAACAATAGAGAGGAACGAAGCCAGCCTTGAAACAGCAAACAAACCGAGAGGGCGACGGAGAGAAAGGAGCCCAGAGGGGCTGATGGAGGGAGAGGTGCACACGGAGGACATGTGAAGAGCACAGACGTCGGGGCTTCGCTTTCTCTCTTTATTATCGGTGGATTTGGATTAAACCGGATTCCGGCAATGAACCCCGCAGAAGCGGCCGAGGAGGCGCCCAGCGACCCCGACACCGATGCCTTCTACAAAACAGGTAAGGAGAACGGCTGCGGATCCTCCGCAATCTGCAACAACAAAAGCATCAGAATCGGGCTGGTTTTCACCAGAAGCCCCTGGAGGGGCGGCTGGGAGCCGGAGCCGGAGCAGGGGCAGGGGCAGGGGGGAGAGCGGAGAGCCGCTCCGGGCACCGGTGGAGGAGATCAGCCCTCCCCACAAGAACACGCTATCCTAGATTCACAACGCTTACACACATGCAAACCTGGAGGTGTGTGTTTGGTTCTGTGTTGGTGAGAGCTGATGCTGCTGATGGTCTCTGCAGGAGGAGTTGGGAGTCATGGAGGAGTGACATCAGAGAAGCAGCTGAAAATGTCAGGAAATACCGTCCAGCATGCAGCTTCAATCCTCTCTCTGTGTTTGTGTGTGTGTGTGTGTGTGTGTGTGAGTGAGAGAGAGAGAGAGAGAGAGAGAGAGAGAGAGAGAGAGAGAGAGAGAGGGGTGTGTGTGTGTTTATATTCGGTTCTTTCAGAAAAAAAGAAAACAAAACATGATGTCTGATTTAACGGATCTGAAATCAAACTGTTCCAGGGAGGAGGAGGAGGAGGAGGAGGAAGAGAAGGAGGAGGAGGTTGTGTGATGATGGAGACAGTGAGATGAATCCTCTCTGGTCCTGATAAGTTGGGTCGTCAGTAGGTTCCCCCTCCTCCCCGCTGCTTTTTTGTGTCCAAAGGTGTAGAAAAGGAGAGAAGCTGAGGGGGTTGAGGGGTGGTCCTGCAGGAGAAGCTGCTACCACATGATGCCTTGTGGCTCCGCAGCAGCCGCTGACTCAGATAAATCATTTAGCAGAGAATCCATTTCATTGATTGCGTCCGTCTGTCCGTCAGAAAGCAGATTCTCAGAGTTCTCTCTTTCCCACCTGCTTCCACAAACGCCGCTCGTTTTCACGTGAGATTCTGATGGAACGTCTTTTCCCACCTTCAAATTCAGTGATAAGCAATTAATGGTGAGGGGACAAAGTTGAACATGACCAATTTCAGTGAAAACAGGCCGAGTGGTGGTGGTGTTGTTGTCGGTGGGTTCAGGTGATCGGATTATGCATAGCTGTGAGGGAGGCGACACACCCGGAACCTGGTGAGCAAAGAGAGAGAGAGGCGCTCTGGGAGCCGACTGTGTGAAGACAACAGAGACGTAAGGCTGCGTCTCCTGTCTCGTTCCTTCATGGCTGTTGACTGTCAGCTGGCCCGCTTCATGCGGAAGGACACGAAATCTGCCGGTTGACTCACACGTTGAAACAAGTGGGCTGAGGAAATTGAGGCGCGCTCAAAGGTGAACTCGATGAGCTTCTGAAGAACTGATGCCGTTTGGTATTCACAGTTTTAATGTCTAGATATTAATAATACATACATACGTACAATTTTTATAGCTCTTTTTTCCAGACACAGATGTTTTACGAGATTTTTTTTTTCTATGTACAGGCACTCATATGTATGCAGATAAAAGGAAGATAATCAGTTTGATTTTAAGCAGAATTTGTCTCCTATCCAGCAGCAGAACGTCTTGAACTGGTTACACAGCATCTCGTTTGAGTTATTTTCTTTCTTCTCTTGATTCATTTCTTTGTTTGTTTTCTTATATCTTTTATACTAATTGTTTGTGTTTTGGATTTATCCAGTTAGATTAGTGTTGCCATTCAGGTTTTCTTTCCCCTTCTTTCTACTCTGCTCAACATCTCAGCTGTTAATAATCTCATTTTCTTCTACCTGCTCATTCCCCAGCCGCATCTGCATACCTGTACTTAGTTTTCCTGGTTCCTTGGTCATCTCCACTTCGTCCTCAGTATGCTAAGGTTTCCAGTCTCATCCTTTCCCGCTGGCTCCTTGCATTGATCTCAGATTTTATCTCCTGCAGCTTCTCCATTCTGTGTGTTTACAGAATACAACGTTTCAGCCAGCAGCTGGGTGCTCGTGTGTTTTCTGATATACTGGTACTTTATATCTAGCAGTACTAAAACTTGCATCTAAACATAAACTGTTAGACACCGCAGCTAATGTGGATTTCCCTCTGACGTGTCTCCAGTGCCAGGCCCAGGCGTCCTTCATGTCCCACTTTGTAATGTGTCTTTTCATTTCAGCTGACAGTTCTTGAAATAAAAATGGGAGCTTTTATGGGTGGAAACGGGGTAATGTTTATCCGCCAGCGTTACATCTGTTATCTGGAAGCGAAAAGGACTTAGCGATTTAACGCCAAGCAAAGACAGAAGCAGCAGCCCAGTCTGAAGGCGCAAACAGAGCAGAACCACCAGATGATCCTCCTGTAACGACCTAATCCATGAAATGCATGAATCAGCAGAATCTGATGCAGGGAGAAGCATGCTGAGGATGGCACACAAAGGCTTTTTTTCTGAAGTTAAAGCGCTAAAGACATTTGGACAGTCTGCCTGAGAAGCATGACACAGAAATCGGCTAAAAATCGACGAAACCACTAACACATCAATGAATCAATTTAAAGTTGTTTTTCTTTTTTTTTTTTTTCAAAAGTCCTCCTTTTCTTTTTCTTAGTTCCACTTTTTCCACTCTAACCGTATTTGTTATCCGAAAAAGTGTGCAGTTATCCACATATAACAAAGTCTATTCATTGTGTGTAAAACATAGAAAGTCACACATTTCACATTTGAAAAGATGAAAATCTTCCTCTCCTAACACGAAAACGTTTTTATGTTTTGTTGGGATGGCGGCGATGGTGGTAGGTGTTGGTCCCGCCGGTTCGATTCCCGCTCTTTTTACTCAACCCCGCCTGCTCGCGGTTGTCAGAGCAGTAGTAGTTACCATCGGTGTGTGAATGGGTGAATAACTGAATGCAGTGTGAAGTGGTTTTTGGGGGTCATCTGGACTAGATAAAGTGCTGTACAAGTACAGACCACTTACCATTTATAAGCACCTGAATGCTGCTGCTGTTCCCTCTTTAATAACAGTTGCAGCTAGCTTGTGTTTTTGCTCTCCCATTTGTCTGATGACCTTGTAATGTGTCTTTTCATTTCATGTGTCTTATTATCCATTTTAAACAGCAAACTAAAATTAGATATTACAAGTGTTTGCTAAATATTAGCTACCTTTGAATTGGTCCAGCCAAACTCATCTCGTGCATCACAGTTTGATTCGGAAATAAAAGTCCCTCCACTGCGTCTGTCCGTTCAGCATGAAACCATGAGGAGGTAAAGTGGATGAATCTGAACCTCAGTAAGACCTTAATAGTGTTATAATGGATATAATACTCATCGTAAATCAGCTGAAAATACAAGAAAACACAGCACAGCATTGCGCTACTCAGGTGATGTCTGTCTGTTGTACGGTTCCATTTACAGAAACGTCGCCCTATCGATTATATCCTCCCTCTCACCGTAGCTGTAAACTCAAAACTCATAAATTAAACTGTGTATATCCCAGACGGTGTAAAACCTCAAGTCCTGAATCTTTTTTTTTTTTTAAATCACAGTATGTGTGTGACTAGTCAGAAAATATCTCGCATTGACATTTTGCAGAAAATAAAACCTGAATTCAGAAAATCCAGCGTTGCAGAGAAACGGTAGCCAGTGAGAAACAGGCTCCGTGTCAAAGGAAGCTCATGTTGGTATTTGGTGAAACTACTGAACAAATAACAGCAGGAAAACGCCTTGACTCCAATCTGAAAACCCAGCCTTTTCCCAGGAAGCTCTCAGTCTCATGCTAATCAGTTGCATGTAAATAGTGTTCCAAATAATCAGGAGGGAACAGGAAGTGACATCAATGCGTGGATACGTCTATGCGAGCAATCAGAGAGTATTAATCAGAGCAGCTGTCTGTCAGGAGCTGCTGCTGTTGTTACGCTCCCAAGAAACTGAATTCTCACTCTGTTTTGTTAATTTATTTAACAAAACAGCAGAAATTAGCAGAGCTGTTGTGGTGTTTGTTAGAAGCAGGCGGGCATGCTGGGAGATTCGGACTACTTTTTTCAGCTAGTGGTGTTATAGCTGCAGCGCTAAACATGTCAGGGTCCTGCTGGCTGCTGTCAACCTCCTCTCTGCAGGATCCAGCAGGAGAAACCGCCATCGCCGTTTCCCGCCTCGCTCAGTCTGTGCGCCATGTGTGTTCCTTTTATTCCAACAGTAAATGGTGAATTGACACTAGCTGTGCGTACGAGTGGGTAATTAGGCATAATTTTCCTGACTAATCTGCAGAAAGTCATGAGTAATGTCTGTTGCCATGGGGATGTTTAGTAGAGACAAATGGTCCAGCAGCTACTCAGTCAGTTTGACTCCGCTGAAAGTCGAAGATGTCATCTTGATGCATGCAGAGACAGAGGACTGGACCGAAGGTTTCTCAACGCAAACTGAGCGTCTCGTCGACTGTAACCTGAATACATACCATGCAGGCTGCTTTTTAAATGCTTTAAAAAAAAAAAAAAAAAAAAAACTTTAACAAACTCCTGTGGTTAAAATGCAGACTTGATTACACAGCTGTACAAAGTACAGACTGTGTTTAGAACTGGTAATTAAAAGAAAATGTCATTACTTCCACTGACTGCAGGCGGCTGAGGATGGCAAGCTGGTGAAGATGGTTTGGAGGGACAGAAAATTACAGCTGCTTCAGAAAATTGCTCTGTTGCCTTACAGGAGGCATGACGGGTGATGTGGGTTTCTTATGCAATGCAAGCTATTATTCTGTTGCTCGGTTATAGTTACTTACTCAGGTCCAAAGCAACCAGGTTTAGGAAAACATCAGAGTTGGTCTTTCCAAACAAGCTCACTTCTCAGTAAAGCCTTAATAAAGATAATCATCACAAAGATAAGATGACTGTCGGGGCCTTTTAACTGACCTGTGTTTTTTTTCTCAGTAAACAAACTGTGGAGTCAAATTGAAATTTAAATGTTTAGATATGAGCTTGGTTCAGTGTCACAGTTCTAATTCTTAAAAAAATAAAAAATTAAGTCTACATAGAAACATGTTTTTATGAGTAACTCTACTTGAAATTCCCCATGAATATTGATTTATTGTAGTGTTT